TGCCCGATCTCGACCTTGCTTAAGGGTTGAAATCAGATGACTTTGCTTATCTTGATATTCATTATAGAATAATAATGAATAACCTTTATATTCAAATTAGAAACAAATCTAATTGAATTGAAGTGTTGTATTACCTTTAATAAAGTAATAGTGATCATTTAATTTATAATATTTTTTTATTTTTCAACCAGTCACAACTTTTACTGTCGTTGATTGAACGATTGTTAAAATATGTCGTTACTTTATCTTTAGCAAAACAGAGTTTAAAACAATTCAATAATGCTCAGCTTAAGAAAGATTATCAAGACTTTTGTCTATAGATATTTGTATATTTCTTTGATTTTTCACAACAACGTTACCTGTCTGTTTTAGCAAAATTAGTCGTAAAAAAATGAAACACAATATTGATAATTAATGACTTCGAATGATTGCTTCAACTGTATCGAGGAAATTTCACAACTTGATGCAATGGCAATTTCGTGTATGTAGCTGAACTTTCATGGAGAGATGTTTGTTAAACGTATAGTGTGCTCTATTTTGGAATGTAAAGCAGTTCAAGTATTTTAAGCAAAAGCAAAGTAGTCATATGGTATGTACAATATTAGAACACTACAGAGTCTTGTACAAAAGCAGAGTACTTTGTTATGTACGAAGAAGAATAATATGAATAAATTTTATTTATTTGTTGAGTAAAGTTGTATCTTAAACTAAATAATTCAGATGATTTCATCTATATACTGTTTGCTTACAGAAAAAAGTACTTCCATTAAAATATGACTATCTTAGTTTGGTTAAAATCAAATTTTTGTCTTGGTATTATAATAGAAACAAGTATCTACATACAGTCTATTTTAGATTTCTATTATAAATATTGGTGTGAATAAAACAACAGTCGTAGTATTGGTTTCATTGGATTTATTAGATATTATTGATTAGAACAAAGTCATGCTAATCAAAAGTAAGATTTCGATTTACATATCAATATCTATCAGTGCTGCTATTTGATACGGAAGAAACAAACTTGAGCAACTATTCAAATTTATCATTAGATTTTAATGTGAATATGATTGTTGTTGATCCGAATAGAGCAGAAGAAAAGAAATTCTACTCCATAGATATCAGATCTATTAAATCCTTTCATAAAGATAATGATAAATTAATTAATCTAGCGTGTTTACCAAAAATTTCAACTGTAAAACGGCAAGACGGTAAATTTTATTAACATGTATTACCAATAGATAATGGAATATATGATGGTACAGTTAATGAATAATTTTTATGCGAAGGATTAGATACATATAGTATTAACAATGGTGAAGAATATCATTCTGGTATGTGGAAAAAGGATAAACCTTATGGATGTGGTTCTATGTTTAAAAATTATGGTTCAACTATTTATCATGGTGAATTTCATAATCAAAATATTGAAAGGAGGTTATGGAAAAGTAAGATTAGAAAATGGTTATGAAAATAAAAGAACGATCAAAAATGGGCAATTTCATGGTCTTGGAAGTTTATCAATTCGAATAGCAGGGTTTATAAAAAAAAACCGATAGTTCAAATATTGAAAACGATACTCTTAAAATAATAGCTGACTGGGAAAATGGAAGGACAATTAAGATTTATGCAAATGAAATTAAATAACATTATGAATATCAATATAAAGTTTTCTGTAATAGTTTAGAGTCTATAACATCATCGAATACTGAAAATTGACAAAAACAACGAGAATATTTTCAAATATTAACTGATTTACGCTCTAAAGGTCTTTTAAATCGTAATTTACTGTATGAAATTGTTATACATTCGAATTTACCAAAAGAATTAAAATCTTCAACTGATTTATTATATAAATTAAAGAATAGTTATTTAGATTCAAAAGACTACACAGATATAGATATAAAAATGTCTTATAATGATTATATTAAAAATCTATGCAAGAAGACACTGGATGCAAAGTATCATTTTTATATTTAACTGAAATTAAGAATATCCATAAAATCGAAAATATTGAATAAATATAAAGCAACCGATTTGAAAGTTACTTTACGTGGAGCAGTTTATAAACGAAGCATATATGACACTGAAGTTTTATTAGAATTAGGCGCAAATGTTAATGTAGAAGATCCTTCATCTGGACAAACTGTTTTACATTGGGCAGTTATGGAGGAATAATAAAGAAATGATTTGACATCTTTTCGAAAGAGGTGCTGATATGGACATGAAAGATTTGAAACATTTGAGTCTCTTTGATTATGCGCAAAAAAAATCAAATCAATTTTAATGAAATAAAAAGTGATAAAATAGAAAATTTAAATGAATTTGAAAATCGATTATATGATATACAGAAATTCGATAATTTTCTTAGGAATTTACAGTCTTTATATTTTATTTAGAGTAGAAAATATTAGAAAAAGCAAACAAAGATTTTTGTCCATATTATATATTAGACATTATAGAAGAATTATTACAAAATCGATTAACTCCAACAGAAATGAATAAAATAAGAGCCCAATTAATAATGGCAATAGGAAAATCATTTAAATATTTAAATTATTAATTATGATACAGTAGTTTAGACAAATTTAAAAATGATTGTATCATTCCATTTTAAGAGGATGTGGGTGCAGTGGTGATGAAAGAAAGACTCATACCCTGCTAATCGATTGACAATGTAATTGTGCAATCTCTACTTGAAATAATTCATATAGGAGTTCTAACTTAACCATATTCGGATGATTTAGGTTCAGTATCAAGTTAGTGGCTTGTGAACACCAGAAATCCAAAATAACTATGGAAAAATTAGGATTTTGTATTCAAACCTCGAGAGAACTGCTAATTTTCGATATGTATGATTGTAATTGATTAAAAGATGAGAAAAGATTAAAATTTATTAAAGTCAATGGCAAATTCTAATTGATTAAATGAAAATTAGAAATCTATTATAATAACACTATTATAATCCTTGTTTAATCATTTTTCCAACCGAAAAAATGATTATAATCAAATTTAGTTATTTTTTTTCATTTCAAAAAACAATTAAACTAGGGTTATAATGGTACTATGATAATAGATTTTTAATTTTCAAATAATCGATTATGATCAGATTTTTCCTGATTTGTTTTTACATGGTAGCTATATTCAGCTCATCGATTTTTTATGAAACATGATATAAGAGGAGTGTTAAAGAATATGGAGTAGAAATTAATACAACCTTATCCTTTACAGATGATGACAGACCTTATTGATATATAATCCAATGCTATATGTCACTAGTATCTCATTAAAGTATATGAACTACTTCCATAGTCTAGTTCTAGACGGTTCAGTATAAGATGTTAAAGCAATGCATTCCGAAATAAACTGAATGAAACAATATTCATATGATTAGCAACAACAACTATAATGTGTTTTATGTTTTCACCCTACACACGATGCTCTAACAACTATTTATATAACTAAGGAAGCTTTTCACATTATAATACGTTAAGTAGGTCGACACATTGATTTAGATTATGTATAGATTCTAATGCAAAAAGAAAATGTGTTAATCATTGAATGATGATATTTTGTCTTCTTTTTAGAACAATTAAACTATCAGTCAATATTGATGATAAAGCACATGAACTTATAAAACTATTAGAAAAAGTATCCAAATTTCAATAACAATGGCAAAAATCACCTATACTAAAACAAATGATAATAAGATATTATTGTTTTAATGCAATTGAAAACATCTCATTCAATAAATCTTCCGTTAATTCCTACTTTGGATATTGAAATTGTTTGGCAAACTAATTTACTTCGATCTGAAATCTGTCAAGCTGATTGTCTTCGTTTATTTCATCGAGTTGTTGATGATAAATGATTACCTAATGATATCGAAGGCTTTTTGAAAGAAGAAGCATTTCGAAACATACTGTTTAGTTTTCTTATTTTTCTTGTAGATGATGTACTGTTGATTT